CGGATGGCAGTTAAAACCACTCCTTATTTTTTCAACACTAAATAACGGCGTGGCCACCGCGAACGAACCGGGGGCCATGAACTGGTGGAGAACGACGTTATTTACTCATTATATCAGAAACAGCAGAGCTCAAGATCAGGGGATTTCAACAGTTCCTGCATGCGTCTAAAAACGAACAACAACAACAACAACAACAACAATAATACTAGTTATTATTTTTATTATTATTTTATTATTATAATTATGTAAGTGTAACTAAAATAATAAACAACAAATATTAAAACAAACAAACAAAAATTCCAGTTAAAAAAGCAAACAAAAACTAAACAAAACAAAATTATCAAAAACATCTATAAAACAGTGAAGGCTGTTGCCTTGTATTTGCTGTGTGATGTGAAATGTAATGAAGTTATCCTTTGAAAAGTCCGGTTTATGTGGGAATGAGGGCTGATACTAATTGCTAGAAGGTTCAAACGGTAAACAGTGTAAATGCAGATTACACCAGATTAGCTCTGAGGCTCTTTGATGTGAGCGCTTTTCTGGCTACTCAGTGAAAAGAAAAAAGCGGTTAAAGAGGCAGAAAATGTAAGCTCTACGGCTTTACAGCCCGATAACGCGATTTAATCCACATTTGGAAGACAAATCTGGTCAAATTAGGAATGGCCACTTCCAGAACAATTCCTCTGAAAACCCCTACCTTAAAGAATGAACAGTGTATATAAATATATATGAACACTGTGTATGTGTATATATATATATATATACACACATACATACATATACACACACAGTGTAATATGAAATGTTACCCAACAATATAATCTAGATGCCATAAAATGATTTAAATTCAAAACAGACATTTGTACTCCACATCTTTAACATAAGTAAATATTTAATAAGTAAACAGGAATATATAAATAAATATTTGCTTCACATTCAACATGCATTTCTTCCTACTGCAAAAACCTTCATGTTGCAGACAGATCATGAGGAAACAGTGTGCAGGAAAATGTGCTCCAGCCTTCACTGTGACAGTGCAGCACAGTGGACTTGTGTGTCTGTGTGTGTATCCAACTAAAGGAGGAGAGCGATAGTGGGGACCCTGTTAGCAGTTGGAAGCCCTGGTGCTGAAAACCAATAGCTGGTGTCAAGAGCTTTTTTAGCCTATCCGGGCAGCTTGTGGCAATAAATAGCAACAAGAGATGTCCAAACTATGACATAAGACAGCTTATGAGCTCAGGCCACCAGCATGGATCATCATATCCAGAGTCATCCATTCTGCAGAAACAGAGCGAATCACAAATTCAGCAGCTGGTTTCTCAACACTGCATATTTTACCCACCGTCATTAATGTTCAGATAAGCTTAGTTTAACTAGTAATGCTGCATATCTTATCTGTATGCGGGTGATAGCTAAGAGAATAGCCAGCTGTAATTGACGTTGGCCCAATAGAAAGTCTAATGGCAAAATGAGGGTGTGTATGTGTGTGTATTGTGGTGGTGGGAGGAGGCTGTCATATACTGACACACCTGGAGACAGGAAGATGTTGTAAAGTGAGGTGGTTTAATGCAAAATCTTAATTATACCTTTCTGGTTATTGTGCTAATGTAATGACAGCAATTATGGGCATTGATTATGTATCCGGGGTCATTCACTAACCTCAGTGTATAGATCTAAAATTCTGAAGGCGGCATGCAAATCAGCTGTGATCAAAGAAGCAGAAAATGTAGTAAAATGCAGTGCATTTTTAAGACTTTAAATTATTTAAGCTTGCAATCGATCAACATGGGACTAGGACTTAAATAAGTATTAAATAAGTATCAAAGTTTATATTCTAAAAAAGAATCAATTCTCATACTCCGTCTATCAGTGAGAAAATATTTAGTGATTTATGCTTTTCATTAGTATTTAGAATGAGAAAATTGTAGAAATTAATATAAAATTCCAGAAAATAATTTGAAAAATCATACACAAATCATAATGTACGTGTAATAAATATAGTACTTATATACAGTACAGTACTGTGTAAAATTCAGAGATCACCCTTCACTGATTAAATTTTCAGTCAAAACCATTACGTACAAGTTATTCATTTTCAAGAGATATTTCTTAGACACAAGACAATCCGCTTGCATAAGGAATGGAAAAATCAACAGAAAATAACAACAAAAAAAGAGTTTCCAAAACTCAAAAAGAAAAAACAAAATTCAAACATACAGAAAAAATTGGCCTTCAAGCAACTGTGCAAGACCTGGTAGACCACCAAAACTGTCCCCATCAGATAAACAACACAAAGCTTTCATTTTCAGAAATAGGAGAAAATCAAGCTCCACTTTTGCTTCAGATTGGAAAAAATCCACAGGAGTTTCTGTCCATCCTTCCACTGTGAGAAGACAACTCAGCGCTATGGGTCTGAAAGGATACGTAACTGTCAACAATACTTTACTGAGAAAAGAAAATAGACAAACAAGAGGAAAATCAAAGAAAGAAGCTGCTGGAGTTTTCAGACCTCAACATCTCTGAATGTGTTTGGAATTACGTGGATTGTGAGAAGCAGAAAAAGCAACCAACTTCTAAGACTTTAGAGGTGTGGAAAAATATCCCTGCTGATTGCTTTGAAAAACTGAAAGCAAGTCTCCTGAAAAAGAATGAAAGCTGTAATAAAAGCAAAGAGTGAACACACTAAATACTAAGTTTTCTGTTTTTTTCTTTTTTTCCTGACACTGATGAAGGACTAACTTGTGTATAAAGGCAATTTTGACTGGAAAATAAATAAACAAAGGTCTCTGACTTTTGCACAGTAGTGCAGCTAGTTGAAGAAATAGGACACTTTTTTCTACTGGTAAAAACAAAGATGCTTTTGTTGATGGCAGTAACTGTGGAAATTAACCAGATGTTTTGCGTCAGCGTGCCACTGATGGTGCTATAATGCATTAAGTAAAGAATACCCCATAATCACAAAGAGAGAAGACTCCTCAGCACCGTTGCTGGTAAGTAGTCAGTCAAGGCCATGTAAGAGTGCAGTGCTATGAGCAGGAGTTGGCGTAAGATGATTACATGAATGGGGGGCTAGGTATAGTTCAGGTTTCAGATCTAATGAGCTATTAAAAATGTAGCACTAAAAGTAAACAAGTGCTCACGTTCATTTGTTCGGAGCAGACAATGCTTCCAGCAAAACAGTTAATTGCTCACTAGAGCACAGCCCAACAAAATGCTCATAAGGGAGTGGGGGGAGTGGGCGAATAACACCCGGCACCTTGCTCACCCCCCTGACAATTTCTCCTCATACAAGCGTGGTCTCCTCCCTGGCCACAATTCTAGACCCTCACAAAAATATTATGTTGCCACTGGCAACAATTTAATAAAATAACCAATCACATCTGCCTTTTCAAACATTTCCAAAATCAGGCAGGGGCCGCCTGAAACGGCACGTTGTCTCATCTCTGCGTTAAGAGTTCTCAACACAATTTATTGCATAGTGATAAATGATCATTGGGCTTGTTTTGGCAGTAGTGGAGGATACTTATGAATGACCGTCTGAAGCAGCCTGCAGGGTTGGGCTCTGTACTATCAGCAGGATTGGTAGCTCTGATTGTGTTTGGAAAGCTGGGGTTAAGTGTGCAGAGACACACACATACGCCTGCACACGTGCACACACAGAACATCACTATCGAGCATGCACATTTGTTTCATAATAACAAGGCAGTGACAGCTCTCATCAGGAGATCTCACTCACAATTGTGAACTTGTGGGCAGGGTGCGCCGCAGTTTGTTTTTCCTGTATCGAATGTTCCCTCAGTTCTCCTTCCAACCATACAATCACATTTTCCTAGCTCATAGTTTTAATCACACATCTTCCAGAATGCCATGCCTTCCCCCCATTCCTCCATGCTGCTGTCTGCCTGCTTGAAGTGTTTGAGTGAAGAAACTGGATGGCGAGTCTGGTCCTCTGAATCATGGATCTAGGTGTACAATATTAGGATCTAGTTTTTGACCTTTAATGGGGCCAGTGCGCTGACCTTGGCAGAAGAATCGTCCTTCCTCACACACCCCCTCGCACCTGCCAAAGAGTTCTTCTCAGTGTTGAAAAGTGGCTTTATTTGAAGTTTACCTCCATGTCTGAAACTTTTATAGTAAAAAGAACAAATCAAATCAAACAAGGCAATAAAAACAACTGTACGCAAGACTGAGGTCAGAACACACTGTGGCCATCATGTCTCTTGTCTCACAAAAATCACCAAACATCTTCAAAAGTTCTGCCTGCATGCTATTACTTTACATGTTTAATGGTTAAATGTGCTATGTAGCTCCATAAGTGCTTTGCATGTATAGAAGGCATGTCCAGCGCAGTGTTTGTGGTGGGCTGAGGGCCAAAAAGACAACACAAAATGCAAATAAAAAACTGTTTTTGTTTTTTTTTTTAAATGTATTTAATTGCACTATACTATATCTCATAATAAAAATACTTCAAAAACACAATTTCAAAAAGAAAATAAGAATTTCATGCTATAAGCAGTATATAATACATGTTTGCTTTCTCAGGTGAAGGGGTGTGGGTAACTGTCTGGTGAGCAAAATCAAACATCATCACAGGCCAAATTTGGCCCTGTTATTTGCGCATTTCTACTTGTGCGTGATTATAATGCTACAAATGCTTTTTGATCTTACATATGTTTGTTTATGTACAGTGTGCATTTATGCTACTGGGTATATTTTACAACAGATCAACAGATGAAATCAGTCTTCTGGGTTAACTGGCTTATTTTCAGTTTATTGATATTGTATATTAAAGGACACTGTCCCTTAGCAAATTAGCAAAATAAAACATTGAATAAAATATGCAAAATGATTTATCTGAATTCATGACCACACTTTTGCCTCTTCTTTAGACCAGTATGAGTTAGTCATACCAATTCGATACCTCACTTAGCAAGCACTGGAGTTTGCACCTTTCAACACTCCAACAGAGAATCTACACAGGATATCTGAGGTTCCACAAACTGGGAATCCCTCCTACAGAAGCTAGCTAGAGTTACAGGGAGGGATTGTAAAGCTACTTTAGACTGCTCATGTTGCAACATCAAATATGTGGACATTCCAATGGCAGCAAATTATTGAGTGAACATGTGCAGCATGGTGTTGTATTGCTGTCAAAATAACTCTGTGATCAATCTTCGATCACCAAAATATTGGTGGTCATCCCCACTGACAGCAATGCAAAGAATCAAAGGACAAATCTTTTCAACTGTAAGGTTAGTAAGGCTAGCAAAGCAACTGGTAATTCAGTCTAGCAAAGTGAAAACATACGCCTGTGCAACATGAAAGTTAAACCTAAACGACACAAGCTCAGCATTGGAATATAAATGTTACCTGGTGTGAACTTTGCCAGGCATTCTTACAGTAATGGGATTATGTCTCACAATTCTCTGCAGCACTGGACAGAGATCACAGAATTATAGCTAATTGTTACTAAAGAATGTTAGGTCATATCTCCTTTGCCTGTGTGTGAGCACCACAGTGGATCAGAGCTAAATCTATAGCAGCACATGATCGCACACCTGCTGTGGCAGTGAAAGATAGATATGTTAATGGTGGAGTGCACACAGCTGTGCGCAGACTGCTTACAACCTCGGCCAAAGTTAAACATCAGCTGAAATGCTGTTTCGTGCCTGCACATATATCCCGTCCGATTGTAATAACAATCCGAAAGTATTCTCGCCTAGGGGACGTCTACATGCACTCCCCACCACCACCCCCACCACTGTCATTTTTTTAAAGCTTTACTTACTTAGGCTGTACGTTCACTCTCCAAAAATGTAACTTTTCAACAAAACTGTCGAATGAAAAGATCTTTCTGAGCACTAAAGCAGAAGTTTGTAGGACTTTTTTCTGTTCTAAGCGTCCTCTACAGATGTACTGTGTAGATAAAGAATATTTTCTCTACAGTTTTGCCAGCAGCATGATTTAATTCTGCCAACAGAGTGTAAAGCATGATTTATGCTTGGCTTTTGACAGATGTGGTTTTGGAAATTCATGTCCAGATCTGTGTTCTTCTTGTGGGTCATGAGCCAGTTTTAGTGTGTAAACAAATAAAGAGGGGGAAAGAAAATGTAGGCATGGTGTCTTTGTCTCTTCAAGCTTCTAGACCATGCTTCCCATCAAGCCTCAGGCCAGTCCGTGGTCCTCTCTTGAACGGACTCCGTGCTTTGCCAGTCAGTAATGCAGAGAGCATGCTGAGCACTGCTGCAGCCCATTATGTGAGCCTCCCTCCCACATTAATAAGCACAATTCTCTGTGGATGGCCATTCTTTGGCGCATTGTCAGGGTAAGCGTATAGCCTTCTGCTGCTAGGGGATGTATAGCTGCGGCAAGAATGCACTGCAGAAATGGAGACCTGGACTTGCATTTGATCATATGGTCCTAAAAGAACAGATTAACTTATCAGAGCAGCAGCATCTACTCAAAATATCTCGCACCTTCATTTGAGAAACATTGTCAATATTGACCTGTTGCAAAGTTCTGTATCAGGCATCAGTATAACAATAGTTTAAGCCCAGTCAGGCCAGAAACACACACTTTATTAAACGTTATGGCAAAATTTGATGGCACTGGTGCACAAATTGTATCCATTGGAACACTACAAAAGAACACTCGGCACAAACATCATCATCAGCCCTCATTTGGTGAGTGCTTTAAGTGGGAGACAAGTGTGACAAGAACAATGAATCCAAAACTGGAAATTGGCTCTAAAAATACAAAATAAAAGTGTACAGCAACAGAACCATTCAATAGAACGCATCATGGAAATCTCGGAAGCCTCACCTCATCTCTTACTGTTCTTTGTAGGGAGGGTAAAAAAAAAAGTAGTATTTGGTTTGCATTGTGTGCAGAAACTAATTTATAGAGGTTGACCCCAGCTCCTCTTTTGTGCAACAGCCATCTTGAAAAACAATAGCAGGAAGGCTTGAAACCTGAGAGGAACTGAATCTGCTGTTTACCATTTTTTCTCCTTCTTTATTCCACATTGCATTTTTCCCCCAGTTAAAAAGCTTGTTTTTGTGTCCAAGCGGAGCTGTAAAGTGATGTCTAAGCATTCCATGGCTGCGCAATAAGGCTCTCTTAACTGGACGCTGGGGGGCCGTTGTTTTGTACCGCTTGGAGAAATGGGCCTGGCAGAGGAAATCATGGCCGCCCCGTGACCCTTCCCTGACCCGCGGTCCTCAAGGCCTAAATGGGGTGGGGGCTGCTTTAAGGTTAGAGGTTTAAGGGTAACAAATCATGCAACACTTTACTGCTATTTAAAAGTGGAGTGCCGAGGCCTGTGCAGGCCAGAGGAGTGCTGAACGGTCTGGAGGGTGGATGGGAGAGAGGGGTCAGTGATGGGTAAAGCTCCACTATAGTCCGCTCTGAGAGGAGCAGGTCAGAGCAGGTCTGGGCCCGATTAACAGCAGAGCAGAGGGAGAGAGGGGGAAGCTCTTGATCTCCCTCATATCTCACCATGGTACTCCAGCGCAGAGGGCCTGCACTCGTCTTTCATCCAGACAGCACGCAGAAGGAGGCTCCAAGAACGTCAACCTTTGTGCCCTTCCGTGTGGGGGGACTAGGAACTGGCTGTTTTTTTCTCTAACCATATACAGTAACTTTTTACTTACTAATTCTGTCCTGAGCTCTCTGTTCTGTTGCCTTCCTTTTTTATTTTTTCGCCAAAAGAGATTCACTATAAAGCACTATGGCATAAAAATTACACTCTAAAAAAAGATACAGATATTTACAGATTTACTTTTATTGATTTCTTTGTTTTTAAGCCAAGTTAAAAACACTGGGAGTTAACTGATATGGCAAACGGCAAACCTGCTAAGTGTCCTAAATCCAAAATGGGGGGGGGGTCAGTAGACATGGTTCCAAACAGACTACACCCTATCAAGAGAGAGAGAAACCTGCTGGCCTCAGAAGAGTGTGTACGGGTCAGAGTGACGAAGGAGAGGGCTGCGATAAGAGGCACTACCTGCCCTCCCCTCTATACTCAGGAGGCTCCCAAAGAGCTAAAGAGTCCAGGCTTATCCAGGCCCAGTCCAGGAAGAGTCCGGCCCTTTTAGCATGATTTTGCACGGAGGTACTATCCTGACCCTGATCCCTTGGAGTTCAACTGAAGTTCAGGGCAGATGTTTTCCAGTAGCGTCACGCAGCGGGAAACCTAAATTGCTTCCGGATTCATGTCTCCACCGACAAATGCCCTCGTTGCCCCCTGTCCACCCTCAGTATAACCCTTGGCTAGCGTCAGCTTTCTCCCGACCCATGGCACAGAGTTATGATGTCTGAGGGGAAGCAGTCCTTGAGCAGGATCCCTCTGTCCCGCTGGCAGTCCAGTTCTGCTATGAAGCCGTACCAGTAGATGACTAGACCTGGGCCAAACCTGCAAATAAGGATCTCAGTTCAGAATGACCATAAAATACATGTTTACAGTACTGTTACAAAATCAAGTACAACAGCTTCCAAACAACTACCACGTAGAGGTCAAGTGGATTTTCTTGGCTAGTTTAGTCAAATGATGAAAAAGTGCATATGACAGGAGGTGGAGAAAAACCTACGCAGAACACTTGCTTTTGATCCACCCCTTTAGGAAACATGACTAAGAGTATAAAACAAAAGCCGTTGTCTGATAAGATCAGCAGACGATACATAAGCAGGATCTCTTTACAATGGGACTTCAACAATAATAACTCTAGAAAGGAACAGTGCTGGAGATTAGCGCTGCGGAGAAAGCCCAGAGTGAGTGGAGCAGAGAGGCCGTGATGGAGGGGAGCAGTCTCTCTCTAATAGTGCATCTGTCAGTGCACTTCCAGTACTGTCCAGCTGTTTCATTCGCATGGACACTTAAAGTACAGCCATTTTGCCTTGGCTCACATTGCACTTCTGGAGAGCTATAAATAACAGCACTCACCCGCTTGCTGAGAAAAGCTCCACTCAAACAATATTCAAATCTACCTTTTTCTTCCCCCGTCTCTTTACATCATCAAAGCTTTTTTGTGCTTTCCTAGTCAGATCACATATCTACATACCATGGAGAAAGCACAGAGGTAATTATAACAGGCTTTGCTGGAACATCATCATGTTATTTCACAATTTTCTTGACATGCAATAAATCATTTCTGCAGCTATTTACTATGCCCCGAAGAAAGGTCGAGGAAAGATCACAGCTATTCCTTGAACTTCAAGATACAGCCATAAAGCCACGTCATAGTTGAGCTTCTTTTTCTGTGTGCAGAAACACACACGAGTCCAAACTGAAAATAGCATTATTTAGTGACATGCAATGTCCAGAGACAATAAATGAGTCTTAGAGGTCCCTACCGAGTCAGACAGGAAGCCGCCTGCCGAGCTGCACAGCGCAGCAGGAAGTTCAGCCCCTCAGGAACAGTTCATAAAACTCCAACTATGATCTCTCATGCCATCAGTAAAATACTTCTGTCTCTGTCAACATCATAATCATGATTAGTGACATATTATCTACCTCTTTTACATCTCCACCAGCCTAGTTTGTCATCATCATCATCATCATCATCATCATCATAGTCGTCTCCAAAGCTGTTACAACCTTCATCATCTCCATCAGGACTTCCTGACTGCTACACATTACTATATCCATAAATAATGAGCTGTTTGACCTGTGTCGGACATGTTGGGGCAACTGAACTGTATAAATAACCCGAAACCCCAGCAGAGGTGCAGAGGCTGCAGCATGAAGAAAAGCGAGTACATGCGACTGCAGCCCTGCATTCCCTGTTTTACAGGCTGTGATTTACAGTCCAGTATCTCTGGGCAAACAGGCCAAAACTAACAGCCCTGGAGAGAGAGCCCACAGATGCACTGCAAGTTCACCACAAAGTCACACATAGCTGAGCCATTCAGCAGAACAGTCTGCAGGGTGCATTTTTTTTTCCTCCATACCACCCTTCCCCCCCCTTCCCCATCTCCCAACTCTAAAAGAGTCCCATATTCTGTTCCGTCGCTGTATGGATGGCCATTCTTTTTATGGAAATGTTATGGAAACAAAATCTAAACATTTACATTAGATAACTTTGGAGAGAGGTTAAGATAGACTTTTATTGAGCATTGGTGTGTATTGCTCTTTTCAGACAGCGAAGGTGGAGGGTGGTGTTGGAGGAAAGGGGTGGGGGCTGAGAGAGGGGAAAAAGCAACCTTCTGAAAAGGTTAAAACTGTACATCAACAGATAAGGCACCAGTGTACAATATATCATGTCCACGGGTTGTCGGGGCAGCCAGGCACAAATTGAAACAAGCAAAATTATAAACAATGGGGAACAGTGTCACCAATGGTGTACAGTAAAGGAATGAAGTTTGAATTCTATTTTGAATTAATAAAGTCCATACCAGGGAGACTTTGAAAAAAAGCAATACAAGGGTTGGGTTGTTGGCAATGGAAGGAGAGGAGGTAAAGGGCAAACATCAGGGGTCTGAGGTTAAGGAGACAGGCTTGTGACCATTTCAAAATAAATAATAATAAAAAACCGCAATGAAAGGCTTCCATAAATAATGCAGTAAATGGCACAAGTCTCCAATCATAATTGCGGTCTATTATGCGGGCCAGTGCTCCATCACCCAAAGCTGGCACCCGCAACGCTCGGGGGAAGTCGGTGATCTTCCAATAAACATCTAACTGCGTAACGAGTTGGTGAAATTGTTTGTGAAATGTAGCTAATTTGGAGCGTGCTAGCTTTGGCGGGCGGAGTGAGTGGGATGCCGTGGAGAGCGCTGCTGGCAGACACGCTGCCATTAGCTGTAACGAGCGGCCTGCATTTGATTTTGAAGCAGGTGCCATGCTGGTTAAAACGGCAGCTTAATGAGAGCACAGCACTTAAGAACAAAAACCCAAATGGAGGTGCTGAGAGAGTAAGCTGCCATTAGTGTGGCCTCCTCCCCCTCTCAATGCACACGTGTAATCGCAGCGTAATTAAATAACTAATTACAGCCCTCCACGGTGTCGTCTCAAACTCTCCCCAGCAGCTCTTAGCAACATCCACAGAATACCTTTTCATCATAAAAGAACCTAAGGCCTGAACTGATAACTTCTGAAGTGAAACCAGTAGTACAAAGATGTTGTATGAGCTAATGGAAGCAACAGCATGTCTAATTGTAATTTTAGTAGAAGCACAACAATGTAATGCACACCTACTGTGCAATACACGCTTAACTTTAAATCAGTTGAAGCCAGACTTTCTATTAGTATTACAAAAGAAAAAGAAAGAAACGTTTCAGATGATTTTCTGAGACGTGGACAAATACACTTTTTAATATTGCATATATCTGGTGAAGTGCTGACTTTCAAGATCTTGTGACTTGCTTTCTTCTGCACTACCTGTTTGGTATATGGGGACAGAAAATATAGACGAGAGAGAGAGAGAGAGAGAGAGAGAGCGAGAGAGAGCGAGAGAGAGCGAGAGCGCGAGAGAGAGAGAGAGAGAGAGAGAGAGAGAGAGCTTGTGCTGTCACAGCTTCGGTCTGGCCTGGCTCTCGGCTGGTGATTAATTGGTGTTTATTTATAGGGCTTGAACTGGGTGACAGGGGGCGGGGGCCGACTCAAGGCTGCGAGCAAGGCGATATCGGCAACAGAACCTCCATCTTACATGTTTTACTGGACCAGCCTGGGGCCCTGGATACAGCAGCATAGAGATAATACAAAAAGCCTCTACACAAACAGGATATTTAAAGAGGTATGGCCTTGCCTGGACAGAACACTGCAGACGGTAAACAAGCATTGTGTACCAGTCCACTCTTCATAAATATCACAAACAGCCGACCAGCCATTAATATCCTCCCTGCTAAGAAAAACTCTTATTGTACTGGAAGCATTCAATTCTCTGAGGTATGTAAAACACAAACGTAAGGTTGTGATGAGCAATGCCTGGCCTCCAAAAGGATCTCCAAAAAGCAGCAATGAGAGCAATGTGCCATTAAGATCCCGTCTTGGGCCAGGTGTAATTTAACAGACGTTTTTATGTTCTCTTTCTACCTCTGTCAATGAGGTTTTGAAAATGGGATGTGAAGCAGACGCCCCTACTTCTCATTTGATGGCAGGGTGGTAGTGAAATATACAGCCATGGGCATGGCATGTCAATACAGCTTGGGAGATTAAAGGGGGATTATAGTGTTTTATCTGTGAACCTTAGGAACCTCCATGACCTGGAGGACAAGAGCTGCCTAGGGTCCTCACATCTCGGTTCTCTTTCAGCCAGGCTGGCCATGGTAGAAGCAGCCCTGCCCACCACACATATTGATAACCTCATTAATGTGTGACGGTAAAGACCCTCACCCTTATCCAGCATACGGCTGTAATTGCGTAAAACCGCACAGCACTCATTATCCTTCGCTCATGTATTAATGATTGCCGTGCTATTGGTGAGGTGAGATCCAATAAACACCTGGCCTGTCCGCGATAATGACTAAGGAGATGGCACTTCCAATTTTAGCCACCTAATTTCCTTTGAAATGACAGGGTGGAGAGATAAAGAGACACTGTCCGACACGAAAGGGGTCAGTAATCAGGATAGGCCTATTCATGAATGCACACATTAAGCAACAAATCAGTCTGAAAATGTAAAAAGTAAACCTAGAGCCGTCCCCTTCATGCATTTGGTTTTTGTTAAAATTAAAAGCAGCTAGGACATGGAAAAGCACTGATGTTCTCTCCATGTCGGGAGGCAGTGTTACCCTTGTTCCTGAAGTTGCCGGTACCGTGCCCTGTACGGCTCAGATCTGCAGCGTCACGGTCCGACTCGCTCTGACACAAGCCCGCCTGCTTTGGCTATGCGGCAAAACCAAACAACCGACAGCCTGGCCCATGGCCTGTCAGAGCGCAGACGAAGGGGCCACTCGGAGGAGGCTGTGTGACACTGACGCCTTGATGTTCTGATAAAAGATCTTCAGCAGAACATGTGGTGCTTGGTAAATGTTCCACTACACAACAGTAATCCCCCTATCCAACCCCAGCATGATCAGGTTCCTTAGAGAACTGGGCTCACGTAAGAGACTGGCTCACCCTCTCACTCTGGATCAAGTGGCGGGTGACCTGGAGTTCAGCCGATCTTTGAGAGTAGTCTGTTCTCTATCACTCTAAATGGCACTCTCCATCATGCAAATGGACAAAAGCTTTCATTAAGACTTCCTAAGAGTGAATTCATTAGGAGATTATGATTCAGACGCCATTTTATTACAGGACCCTATTTCTAAGAAATTATGTATTGAATTGCCCATTTTAAAATCAACAATGGCAATTTTAATGCATAGATATTCTAGCATTTTCAGCCACTGATCTTCTACATCCTAACTAAATAAAGATGCTTGGCACTCTAAGTAAGACATACGTGTAGAAAGATAAAGAATATCCTAACCAGG